ATCTAGGCACACAAGACTAAATCACATTTCCTAACAGGCTCTGTCAAGGCTGAATTACTTCCTAAGGATTTATTAAAGTTGGATTCATTCTTTAGTTACTGCAAGATTTGGCAAAGGCAGTTTGAGGAGGAAATAATCTCTTCAGGTAGTTTGACCAAAATATATATGAACAGAGTCAGCAGAGATTAGAATTATGGCACATCAAACAATTTACATGTTCTGGCACCATGTCAAAAGTAACAGATTCTCACAGCAGGTTGTAAAGTGAACAGGTGAATACTTGGCCCTTCCTCTAAAGTCAGTGAGAAGGAACAGCCTGAAATCAGACTGTCACACTCAGCTCTGCTCCAAGGAAACATCTCTGTTAACCTGCACTCAGGTGAGACAACACAAGGGAGAGCCAGGCTGAGCTAACACAGGTGTGACCACCTGCCCTTTTTCAATCCTTACCTCTCAGTTGTATTTTCACATTTATATATTCATATATTCACCTTTTTGTCTGTCACTTTTTTTTTCCCAGCTCTTTGTAACTCTGCAAGAGGTGCTTACAGAGTCACTGCTCTTCACTGGCCCTACATATGTCACATAGCTGTGACCTGCTGGTCTAGTCAGAGAAAATAACAGAGAAAAGCCAGGCAGCTTTTAGTTACAAATGCACTTTGTAATAAGGTCTTTAAGGTCCCTTCCAACCCAAGCCATTCCATGATTCTCTAGAGATGATTTGTTTGGCTGCATGGTTCTGTGGTGACACTTCTCCCTCTTGCAACCTCCTGTGCCTCAGTCACTGTCTTCTCTGGCCAAAATCATCATCTGTAATGTAATCAAAGGGAGATCAAGAATTTGGGGTCTCCTATGAATGTGTGATGTTGTAGATGATCTCTATGCTTTCAGGGTTTGAATACAGGGACAATAACTAGTTCATCCAGTGGGTCAGTCACTTCTCTGGAGTGTTTCGTGACTTGCTGCCTTAATGTGCTTCTTAAACTTCTTCTCTTGGCCAAGTGCAGAAAATCTCTGTGTTTAACTACCTGCCAGTATCTCCACTGTTCAGTCTCTGTTTTTTCAACCAGCACCTGCTCTGCAGATCCCTCACCTCCCAGCTCCACTGCAGCCAAGCCTGTGGTCATTAAAATTAAACTCACGATAGATACAGATCTCTTGGATATGCAGATAATGAAGAAGACCTGTGCCTGCAAGAGCATGATCTGGATTGCTGGAGTTGGGATTCATCTCCCCCAGCTCTAGAAGTCAGGGTTCAACTTCAGAGCCATTCTCCTTCTGCTGCCTTTGGAGGTAATGGAGGCACTTGAGGTCTGCATTTCACCTCTTCTAGTTACAGCAGGTGCCTGAGATAGGCTGGATGAGCAGATAAAGTAAATAACTGCCTGCATATCACCAAGATTTTTAAAAAAAGTATAATATGGATCAAGCCATTCACTATTTATCACTTTCAGGGTAAGGTTGAGGAAAACAGTTGTTTTGAGAACAGAAGTAAGGGAGAGCTGTAAGGATATGAGTTCTATGTCTATAGTACTGTGTGTCTAGGATAACTTTTTGGGTCTCACGGCCAGCTGGTTTGTCTCTGGACACTCTGCCTCTGGAACCATGTCTTCCAAGCTGCTGATAATGAAGGACCCTTGGCATCATTAACCTCTCAACCATTCCAAGGCTTTTTTGGAAGGTAATGATGGTTGGTCTAAGCCAAACTAATGTCAAGGACTAGGATTATAAAGGTACAGAAAACCATGTTAGTGCTCAAGCCTATCTTCAGGCTCTCTGTAACTCTCTGTACTGACAAGTTATGGAAAAAAAGAATGGATGGAAAGGTTTCAGAGGAAGATCTAGAAAAGAAAGGCCTAAAGCTAAGAATAGATTCAGGTCATGCCATGGAGACAGCATTTACCCTTCCTACTGCAGAAATCAATTAGTGATGAACAACAGCATGTATGTATCCACCAAAATACACAGGGAATGTGTTTTAGTCTGCAATGGGCACATGTGAGGAAGACCCGTATGAGTGAGTTCATGTTTATTCAAAACAGAAGTGCAAGGTCACCAGGAGGAAAACCTACTCCCAATGGATTCATCTTCTCATCAGTGTGTTACCTTTGGAGCCTGCTTGATGGTGTGTCTATGTGGTCTGTGGGAATGATTAAACTGTGTTGTTTCCTCTGTGATAATCAGTGTAAAATCATACCTCTTCATTTCTCCAGCTGCTTAGCTGCTCACAGCTACCTCATGCCCACTATGTGTGAGCACACAGTGATGTGCACACACGTCACCCACTCCTGCCCTAGGTCCCAGGGCTATTTTTAGAGTTTGCATTTGCTGGTTTGTTTCCCAGCTGCACAGTCACACACCACACCTCATGAGGAGGGACACCACACACACCACACATATATCCCATACACACATATATATTCCACATACACATATATATATATTCCATATATATGGAATATTCAGGCATTCTGCACAACTGCTATTTTGTCTTTGAAACCTGCCTGCTGCTTCCCCAGAGCTGAGCTCATACACTCCCTCAGCCACATGGATGTGCTTAACGTGACACACCTGCTGGAAGGAGCAGCACGGAAAAAATTTGCTTTTCATGCAGAAAAATGCATCTCACAGAATCACAGGATCAAGTAAGTTGGAAAGGACCTCTGACATTATTGAGCACAACCTATGACTCAACACCACCACATCAGCTAGATTGTGGCACAAAGTGCCACATCCAGTTTCTTCTTAAACACCTCCAGGGATGGTGAATCCACCACCTCCCTGGGCAGCCCATTCCATTTGCTTTGGTTTACTCAGGAGCTGTGTGGTCCCTCTTGGCCAACCTGTATAATCTTGTTTCGTATTAACTGATAATGTGTGGACTGGCAATTATGGCTCATTAGGTGAGGAGTCAGCCTAAATGGCTGTGTTATTTGGTGTTATTTCCTTAAATGAAGCAGAAGTTAACCTGTGTATTGTGTATCCCCTCCTGGCAGGACGAGCCTCCTGCTACCACCCGCTGACGGCAGAGCGGGTCCGATGCTGCAGTTCACAAAGTGAACAAAGACAGCTGGGGCTCGGGGGAGATGCTTTGTGCAGAAGATGAGATCAGGCTCAGACACTGAGCTGCTTGGGGCAATGTATTATTAAATGCTATCTACTGATCCGCTACTTCTGTAGGAGCCGATTAATGACATCCTGCTTTATTATTCCTTATCTTTCATCTTCACCTTGTTTCACAGATGTAGCTGGCAGTACACGGCACTAACCACCGACCCGTGGCACTCATTAGATGGTGGCTGCTCCTCACAAGTGCCATCAGGCATGCAATTCCTGCTCCTGATTCTGCTAACGATGCTGGTTAACACATTGCTGTGTCGCTGTTCAAGCCACCTAGACAACATGGTCTTGTCAGTCTGGAACGAGCTTATCTTTTACTTATCATTTTCTTTGACACCATCCTCTGATAAGCCGAGAGATAAATACATAACAGACTCTGCAATGTATTCCCCTGGCACTAAATTCTTAGCAGTAACACTGTAGTGGGGTTTTAAGTCACGATTGCTTCATTTGACCTGTTTTCTATTTTGTTCGAGTGTTGCAGCTGAAGATCTTAGGGCACATTTAAACAAGAAACATATTCTTGTTTAGCCATTCCCCATACCTCAGGAATGGTTCTGTCTCTGAAGGGCTGTGGGGACTTAATTCCAGCAGCTCAGGGCAGGTACAGGGTACAGGCAAGTCAAGCACATGCAGTTGCTTAAGGTCCTGTTTTTAGGGTATCAAGGGTTTCACCTTGAAAGGTGAAATGAAGCAGGAACACGATGTGAGAGGAGGAATCTATGGCCTGATGTGGGGATCCCATTGACCACAGGGACCTATCAGGGACAAGGCATGCTGCCTTGCCATTATGAAGACTATATTATAATGGCTTTTAAGTCTTTTACCAGCATTGCCTCGTTGCAACACGACCCTTTGGTATCACAGTCAGTCACTGAACCTTCCTCATGCCCAGAAACACCAGTAGCTGGGCCACACATAAAGCAGTGGCATAGGACACATGGCACAGGATTGTGTCCAGATGGCTCTGGAATATCTCCGGTGAAGGAGGCTGCACACCCTCTCTGGACAGTCTGTTCCAGTGCTCAGTCGCTGCACAGGAAAGAAGTTCTTCCTCATGTTCAGAGGGAACTTCCTGGGCTTCAGTTTCTGCCCATGGCCTCTTGTCCCATTGCTGGGCACCCCGAAGCAGAGCCTGGTCCATCCTCTGCCCCCTCCCTGCAGACACTGATGGACATGGATGAGGTCCCCTCTCAGTCTCCTCTTGGGGCTGAACAGCCCCAGCTCCCTCAGCTTTTCCTTATCAGAGATGTTCCAATGCCTTCATCATCTTTGTCACCCTCCATTGGACCTGCTCCAGGAGCTCTTTGTCTCTCTTGTCCTGAAGAGCCCAGAACTGGAGACAGCACTCCTGATGTGCCTCCCCAGGGCTGAGCAGAGGGGCAGGATCACTTCCCTACACCTACTGACAGTGCTCGTCCTAATGCACCCCAGGATACCATTGGCTTTCTCGGCCCCCAGGGCACACTGCTGGCTCACAGAGAGGCTTGTTGTCCAACAGCACCCCCAGGTCCTTCTCTGCAGAGCTGCTTTCCACCAGGTCAGCCCCCAGGGGAAGGTTGTGGACATCACATGGAAGAAATATGCAATTAGTCTGGCTGTGAGTACTGTTCATCTGTGCAGGCACCTCCCTGCAGTGCCAGAGGTTTCCATCTGCGCAGGAGGATTACAGATGTGTGTGTTCAACAGCATGTCTGTGCTAGGTCTTATTACTTTCATTTGAACCACATCTCCCTAGTTTGGAAATTACTTTTGTGGCTTTGTCAAATGTGCTACCAAAGCCAGAACAACATCCACTCATCTGAGTGACTCACTGAAGAGAGTTTGTTTTGGCAAGATCAGTGCATGAAGGATCCATGCTGATATTTTATGCTCTACTGATTATTACAAAATGACAGGTAAACAATTTGCTCCGTCATCTCCCTGGAGATCTAAATTAGGCTTATTGACCTTTATTCCCTGGGTCCTCAGGGGTGAGATGTATGAGGATTGGTTTTTACCTCATTACACTTCTTTTCTCTTATGAGTGATTGAAAAATCAGTTCTTATAGTATGAGTTACAGTGAAAGGGAATAGAAATCACTAAAAGGAAGACATTGAGGGGCTGGAGCAAGTCCAGAGAAGGGCAGTGAAGCTGGGGAAGGGCCTGGAGCACAAATCTGATGAGAAGCAGCTGAGGGACCTGGGAGGGGTCAGCCTGGGAAAAAGAAAGACATTACTGTTCTCTACAACTCCTTGAAAGGAGGCTGTAGCCAGGTAGGGGTCAGGTTTTTCTCCCAGGTAACAAGAGATGGGACAAGAAGAAATGTCCTCAAGTTTTGCCAGGGGAGGTTTAGATTCTACATTAGCGAAAACTTCTTCACAGAAAGGGTGGTCAAGCATTGGAACAGGCTGTCCAGGGAAGTGGTGGAATCACTACCCCTGGAAGTATTAAAAAAATGTGTAACTGTGGTGCTTAGGGATATGGTTTACTGGTGTATCTGGCCATGTTAGGTAAATAGTTGGACTCAATGATGATCTTAGAGGTCTTTTCCAACCTTAATGATTCTATGATTTCTTTATTCATAGTAAAGGACTCTCTCAGGAATGAGGGTAATGGTTCTGCCCATCTCCTTAATGGTAACAACCTATTGCAGAGTATCATCATTCTTATTTGGACCTGTGTTAATTATTTAAGGATGCAGTAAGTCATGTTCCAGCAACCACACCTAAGCCCTGCCATTGCCTAATGTACCAGTCGACACGTCCCCAGCTGAGAGGGCAGGATGCCATGGAGGGGAAAAGCAGTGGAGATGAACAAGAAAAAAAACCAGCCCAAACATCAAGCACTTTGAGTTGTGAAATTGGGCTTTTTACTTAATAGTCATTTTCACACAAGAAGAAATTCCACTGAAATGAGAATGAGTCGGAAATGGGTGCTGAAATTATTCCTTGCCAAAGACTCTGGGACTTCAAATCTTCAAGCAGCTTCCTTACTAAGAGAGGATTGGAACGTGAAACCATTGGAAGGTGAGACTAAAATAATATTTATTCCCACTGTGGAATGCACAGGAGAACACCTTGCCTCCCAAAGGTCACAGAGTGGGGATTCCATGTTATTTATTCTAATTGTTACTTCTTTCTGAAAGTGGGTCTGATGGAAGGTTGTTTACCTGACTTCTGTTTTTGCCTAGGAAATCTTCAGCTCCCCACATGACCTGTTTGTGCTTATGCTGCTAAAGATTTAGGCTCCCTTCAAGACCTAATGCCAATAAAGTCACAAAGTTGGTTGAAATTTAGTCACCTTTTTTTTAATGATGAATTTTTCATGAAGAATGAGTAATGACTGATGCAGCAAAAGAAGATATTACAAAAATAATTTTGGAAGGCACCACTACTTGTTAGTAAAAACACAGTTTCCAAACACAGGTTACAGGTACCTGTATTTATGTTCAGCGCAATCTTATACTGTAAGAGAAACATTCACTTAAATGAACTTAAATTGTGAACCAAACATTGGTTTGGGCTTTGTTTTTTGTTTTCTTTTGTGTTTTTTTTCATGACTGAACATTTTACAGTAGAACATATGTCAGCAAAAGACAGATTCTTAACCAGAATAGTTCTAGTGGAAACTGCTGTTCCCTCCTAATTTCTTTTAAGAACTACGTATTTCAAACAGTCCTGTTTATCTTCTGGTCCTGTTAACAGTACATTAATTTAAAATGTCCATCAAGTTAAACTAGTTGCATGACCAAGCACTATCCATCTATACTGAGAACACATGAAACATATGGAACCACAAAATTTTAAGCAATGCTCACTAGGCAATGTTTTGAGAAAAAAAAGATGAGAAGAGCTAAAAATTAAATATATCTGGCAATCAAATGACAAATTTCAATTGAGATCTCTACTATCTTCTAGACCATTATACAAATAGAATATATACATCCTTCACCAGCTTTTTCTTGTGTGAATCACTGGACTGAAGCTGGTCCTTCTGCATATGTGGGAGAGGCTGGATGGGATCAGTTTTTTGTGAAAGAAGTCACTAAGGGCATGGGTATCCAGGAAGGGAAAAGCTGAGCCTGTTACTTTATTTCGGTTTTGCATTGGCAGGAACCAGAGTGATGAACTTGACAAAGCTCTGGGTACTTCCAGGAGACTTTGCCAAGGGAGTAGGAAAACATCTTCAAACTTTCAAGACTTGGCTGAAAATAAATTGAAACACAAAATTAATCATGAATGGGAAATGAAGACCTGCAGCATTTCCTTTCAGAATAATTTTTCATCAACATTTATTTTCTCTGTTTTTTCCTTGTTGTTGTGATTTACTCCACAGCAACATCTGAACTCGCACAACCAAAATTCTTAGTTCCCTCAAGGAGATTTCTCACTGAACCAGCAAGGTGTTTTGAAGTTTTCATCCTTTATGCTATAGGCCATGGTGAGGATTTGGTTAATTCTATAACAGAAGATTGAAATTAAACCTTGCACTGTGATGCTCAGCCCATAAGTTTTGATTTTCCATTAGAATTCTAAAAACTCAGGTCTACTACTTGCCCTTATCAAGTGTGTTGCTACTGCCACCTGATCAGCCACTCTTGTTCAGAGGAAGAAGAAGAAAATATAAAGAAGTCACCTTCTTCCCTGGCATTTCCTAGAGGCAAGGGTGGGAATTGTCTCTCCTGGGCATGGAAAAGCATATGGATTGCTGCTGGAAATCTGGAGCTCACACTTCTATGCTGTTGTTGGTATAAATGTATCTGTGACCTCACTTGCAGACCACGACTCTTCTTATGATGAAAAGTGTTCATGAGAGTTTCCACACGGTAAAATGTGATTTAAGCATGGTAAAATGTATTTAAGCAAGTAATTTCAAAAAAATTCAATTTGTTGTTGTTGTTGTTGAGGTTTTCTTGGGGGAGTGTTTTCTGTCTTTTTTTTTTTTTTTTTTTTTTTTTTTAAAGCATCAGCTTTACCCAAGTCACACTTGAAATACTTAGAACTTACTGCACAATCCATCCTCACAGGCATTAGGGCAATCCCCACAGGGCTCTCCTTCCTTGTAGGGTGTCTTCATGGAACTTAGTAGATTCCCCCTAAACATCAACATTACCAACATAAGCTTTGAAGACACCATACAATATCTGAGAAAAAAAAATTAATTATAAAGGTGTTTATGTATATTAATTTACACTCAGTCAATTTTTATAAATGTATTAAGTTTGTCTGGAAGGGTTTTGGTAGTGGGCAGGGAGGGTGAGGGGGAGAGAATTTGCAGGACTGGCTTTTGTGAGAAGACACCAGAAGCTGCCCCTGTTTCAGACAGGGCCAGTGCTGGCCAGATCCTGGTTCAGGTTGGACCTGCTGCTGCTCAAGGCTGAGCCCACCAGTGATGGCAGA